ATATATATATATCATTTACCAGTCTTTATTGGTCTATAGCTGGTAAAGGACAATTTTTATAATTTCAGAGAAGGCATGCTTAGCTCTCTACAGAATACCATGTACCTTTCTCTCCCCAAAGAAGTCCTGTGTTAGTATTTCCAATTTCTTAGTAGTTTTACATTTTAAAAAAATTAACTAGGACTTGTTTGATAGCATGGAAATTCAGCTAGATAATTTTATCATTATGAATGAATTATCTTAAACTAAAAATGTTAAACTATCACGAGCTGCAATCCCAAAGGCACATGGTTTGAATCCACTAGCCTGCTCCACAAGAGGAAGATGGGTAGTCTGCTGTGTGATTTGCTGCCTCTGAAAACCCACCAGAGTCTCAGCTGTATGTCAGGCTCAGTGGCACACAACAATAACAAAAATGCAAGAACAAACAAAGAGGAATTTGAGCTTCAGCAGAAGGAGCTGGAGAAGGTCTGCAGCTCTATCATCACAGAGCTGTACCAGAGTGCTGGAGGCATGCCTCACAGCTTCCCTGGTGGTGGAGCTCCTCCATCTGGTGGTGCCTTTTCTAGACCCACCGTTGAAGAGGTTGACTAAGCCAATATGAATGAATACTTTAGCATTTATTGCTCCACAGTTAAATTTTGAAGGACCTAAATTTGTAGCACATTGTAGTTTCAAAGTGTAAACTGCTAGTCTAAGTTTCTGGGCATTCTCAATATTTCAATATGGAATGTGCATGTTACTGTTGTTGTTATGTGCCATCCAGTTGCTTGCGACTCATAGTGACCCTATGTACAAGAGCCCTAAATGCCGTTCTATCCTGTACCAGCCTCGCTGTCTCAAACACACTCATTCCCACCACTCCACTCACAGAATCGATCTATCTCATTGAAGGTCTTCCTCTCCTGCGCTGTCCCTCCACTCTCCCAAACATGATGTCCCTCTCCAAGGACCAGTCCCTCCTTGCAACATGCCCAAAGTATGTCAGACGAAGCTTCAGAATCCTTCACTCCAAGGAGCACTCCGGCTTCATCCTCTCCAGGACAAACCTGTTTGTTTTCCTAGCAGTAACACTCTTCTTCAGCACCACAGCTCAAAGGCATCAATTCTCTTACTATCATTCCTATTCACTGTCCAACTCTCCAATGCATAGCACGTAATTGTGAACACTATAGCCCGAATCAGGCGTACCTTAGTCTCCATCCTGACATCATTGCTCTTCAGTACTCCCAATGCAATTCGTCTCCTGATTTCCTGGCTGCTGTTACCAAGAGTGTTGACTGTGGAACCAAGTAAACTGTTAACTATCTCAATCTCATCACCATCCATACTGATGCTGCCAATTGACCCAGTGGTGAGAATCTCTGTTTTCTTAATGTTGAGCTTCAATCCATATTGAAGACTGCAGTCCTTGACCTTCTGTAGGAAGCGCTTCAGGTCCTCCTCAGTTTCAGCAAGCAGGGTTGTGTCATCTGCATAATGCAGGTTGTTGACGATTCTTCCTCCAATCCTGATGTCACATTCCTCCTCGTACAGCCCAGCGTCTGTTCTGCATACAGATTGAAAAGGTATGGAGACAAAATACATCCCTGACGGACCTTTTTCTTGATTTTGAACCATCCAGTGTTTCCCTGCTCTGTTCTGACGACTGCGTCTTGGTCCAAGTATGGGTTTCTCATTAGCACAATCAGATGTTCTGGGATTCCCATTCTTCTCAGAGTCAGCCACAGCTTGTTGTGATCCACACAGTCAAAAGCCTTTGCATCATCAGTGAAGCACAGATAGACATTCTTCTGGTATTCTCTGCTTTCTGCCAAGATCCATCTAACACTAGCTATGATATCCCTAGTACCACAACCTCTTCTAAATCCAGCCTGCACATCTGGAAGTTCTCTGTTCATAGTGAAAGAAAATAACATTGCACTTTATTATCACTGTATTCTAAGTGGAAAATGCAAGGTCTCAAATAAAGATGTAATTAAAGGTGGTACCATAGGGGGAAATAAAGGTTCATGGTACCCATGTTGTTGTTATTATGTGCCGTTGAGTAACTTGCGACACCTTGTGACCCTTTTACTACAGCCCTAAACTCTACTCTGTCCTGTGCCAATCTGTCTCCTATACACCCATCCCAATTACCCCAGTCATTGAATCAATCTACCTCATAGAGGGCCTTTCTCTCCTGCGCTGTCCTTCCACCCTCCCAAGCATGATGTCCCTTTCCAAGGACTGGTCTCTACTTACAACATGTCCAAAGTATGTCAGATGAAGCCTCAGAATCCTTGCCTCCAAGGAGCCACCCGGTTTAACCCTCTCCAGGATGAATCTGTTTTCTTACCAGTCCATGGTACACTCAATACTCTTCTCTAGCACCACAGCTCAGAGGCATCAGTTCTCCTTTTATCTTCCCTAGTCATTGTCCAACTCTCTGACGCATAACAAGTGATTGCAGAGACCACAGCTAGCCATTCTGATTCAGGCCAAATGGAATGAATCCTTGTGGAAAAGAACTTCAGATACTTTAAAAAATAAAACAAAATCAAAGAAACATACTTACTGAACTGGTTGAGAGTGAAAGTCTACCCAAAGCCGTTGATGCAAGACCTCTTTAAACTAGAAACCAAATATAGTTCCCTGAGATCACCTTTTACCTAAATACCACATTAAATTAAAAAAAATAATAATAAATAACACTTACTTCCAAAGTAACTTGCCTCCAGAAACTCTGTGAACATGGAGAAACAATGGCATTTATACAAGTGATCAGGTCTTTTGTTCATGGTATTGCTATGAGTCATCTGTAACTCCACAGCACCTAACAACAACAACAACATAGAGCTCTGCTGGTCTAGTAGATAGAGAGTTATGTTACCAAGCCAAAGGTGGATGATTTTAATCCATGGCCCTCAGGACTGGTTTTACTTGTTTTTGGTCATTCTTCTAAGTGGTATAGCACTGGTCTGTCCATTTGCTGTACAGAGATAACTCGAGATTACTGTGATGCTAAACACTGTGACACTGATGTGTCATATGTGATAATGGTTATCCATGGTACACAGTGTTTTGTAAAGCTCCCCAATTAAAACAAGTTTGGAAGCAGGAGTGGCATCCACTTCCAAAATAGTTTGCCTCTGGGTTCAGGTCTTTCCTTCATAGGGTCACTATGAGTCGTCTATAACTCCACAGCACCTAACAACAAACAACACAGAGATTAGAATATAAGTAAGTGTCATTTAAGTGTATAGCATCACAGTTAATCCTATTGTGTAAATTTATTGGGGCTGACTACTTAGGCTTTAGAGACCCCTCCAATCCTTTTACATTTTATTTTATGGTATTCAACACTTACCTATTACAACCCAGATTTCAAATATGGTTATTAAGTCATTAAATTATTTAAATCTCTCTTATAGATTGTCACCTCTGTACAAATCTTTGGATTAAATTCATAGGGAGTTAACTAAGCTCTACGTAGAGGAGTTGTACTTAGCTGTTAGAAGCGAGTCACGATGTTGGTGTATTAAAATTTTTTTTAACTAATTATCTTTTCTGTCTTCTCAGAGAGAATGTTTTGATTGGATCAATACAAGTGCTCTGCTCCTTTCTGAACTCAAAGGCAGAAGAATAATATTATTGAAGCCTGAAGAAGTTGAAAATCTGTGTGGAGAAGAGGTATTTTTCATGTCTAACATTAGTCATTACTCAAGTTCTTTTTCATATTTATGTAGATGGCTTTGTCCATTGTACTTAATCTCCATTCACTTAATTTATCAAAACAGGAATGGGGGGAGAATTGACATATCTCACTTCCAGTTAAAGCTGAGTTCAGAGGAGACTGTGACACCAGGGATATTATTGCTGATTTTCTATGGATCCTGGCTGAAAGCAGAGAATACAAGAACAATGTCTATTTGTGTTTTGTTGACTTTGCACAGGCATTATATTATGTGGATCATAACAAAATGTGGCTAATATTGAGAAGAATATAATTCCAGAACACTTATTTGTGTTTATATGAAACCTATACTTAGACCAAGAAACTCTTGTCTGAATAGAGCAAGGGAACACTGCATGCTTTAAAATCAGGAAAAGTGTACATTGGGATTATATCCTTTCCCCATAACTATTCAGTCTGTATGCTAAGCAAATCATTTGAAAAGATGGACTGTAAAGAAGAATGTAACATCAGGATCAGAGGAAGACTCATTAAGCACAACCTTGCTTACTGAAAGTGAAGAGGACTTGAAACGGTTACTGCAGAAGATCAAAGACTGCAGCTTCAATATGGATTGCCTCTCAACAGCAAGAAAACAAAAATCATCACCAATGGACCTATAAGCAACATCATGATAGATGGAGAAAAGATTGAAACTATCAATGATTTTATCTTACTTGGATTCACAATTAGTACTCTTGGTGCTAATAGTCAGAAGATTTCATTGGCAAGTCTGCTGTCAAGGACCTCTCCGAATTACTGAGGAGCAGTTTGAAGACTGAAGTGTGTGCACCTGATTCAGACCATGGTCTTCTTAGTCCCTTGCTATGCACCTGTAAACTATGCAATGAATATGGATAACAGAAAAATTAATGCCTTTGAGTTGTGATATTGGAGAAGAGAACTGTATATCCCAAAGACTATCAAAAGACTGTATAACAATGAAAGAACTTTTTTCCCAAAGAAAAAGTCAACTGGGTGTATAGTGACTGCAGCAGTAAGCTCGAGTATGCCAGTGATGATGAAGACAGCACAAGATAGGACAGGGTTCGGAGCTATTGTTCATAGGGTTGCCATGAGTCATACTTATAGTTGTTGTTGTTAAGTGTGACTGAGTTGTAGGCGACTCATAGTGACCCTATGAACGAAAGACTTGGACACTTGCATAACTTTCATCCTTTCTCCAGGTTCATAAGGTTTCTGGAGGCAAGTTATTTCGGAAATGGATGCCACTCATGCTTCCAAGCTTATTTTCATCAGGGAGCTCCACCAGACACTGTCCACCATGGGTAACCATTATTGCATTTGACACATCAGTGTCACAGTGTTCGGCATCACAGCAATCACAAATCACCTCTGGACGGCAAGTGGATGGATACACCAGGGCTATACGACCTAGAAGAATGTTTTGGCATGCAATCTCAAAAGTTCTCAGTTCCAATAGATCCTCTGCTGTGGGGGAAGGACAGATGGTCTCCTTCTGTGCAATTTACTACATATGAAAACCTATGGGAGGGACATCTATGGGTCAGTTCTGACTCAATGACACACTGAAACAACAAAATTTATACATAAAACATTCTGCAAGAATATTCAAAATGTGTAGAAGTTATCGCTTCTGAGAGCTGGAGGTTCTTCGTTTGTATTGTTTTTAGTATTTTATAGCAATCTGATCTGATGTTATCAGGAAAATGTTGCAAACTATCTGCTTTGGAAACTTATTAGTAAATCTTGAATATTTTTCTATGCCATATAGATAAATTTCTACAATTGCCTTAAATTGTACTATAAAGTATTTTGGTTTGGGCTTATAGCATAATATGCTTAAGTATTTTCTGATGAAGGAAATGCACTTATTTAGAGCTTTTGCTTTTTAACATTGCTGCACTAAATACGCAGGGACATTTATTATTTTATTTCTTTTTTAAAATTAATTTTAATAAAAGTTTACAGAAACTTAGGGTTTCCAGTCATTTGTTGTTGTACTTTTCTCTGTGCCCACCCCTGTCCTCAATTCACTCTTCTTGAAAAGTAAAATAAAAACTCTTTGATTGATATGCAATCCCTGCCCTCAAATCCACTCCACTGTGCAGTCTTCATTCTGGACTCCTGTCATGACAATAATATCCCAACATATATCCCTTTTTAAACAGTTCTCTTCCTCATCTGTTTTAATGCAGTATACATAATTCCTCTCCTCCTTCTCTTGTCTTCCCTCAACCTTGATGTCAGTTCTGTTTTACAGCAGTGGCCCTATGCAATATTTGTCCTTTTGTGACTGAGATATTTCACTCAGCATAATGTCCTCCATGGCCATCCATTTTGCATAATATTTCATAATATTTTTGCATGTTTTTCAATGTTGCATAGTAATCCATTGTATGATTATACCAGAGCTTCTCTATCCATTTGTTTGTTGATTGGCACTTGGGTTGTTTCTAGTGCTTTGCTATTGTGAACAAAGCCGCAGTAAACATGGGTGTGCATATATTTGCTTGGGTGGCAGTTATGGTTTCTTTAGGGTATATTCCCAGTAGTTGAATTGCTAGGTCAAATGTTATTTCTATTTCCAACTTTTTGATAAAGTGTCATGAAGCTTTCCATAATGGTTGCACCATTTTACACTGCCACAAACAGTGAATAAGGGTTTCCGTTTCTCCACAACCTTGCCAGCATTTGTTGCTTGCTGTTCTGTTAAATTTTGCTATTCTTACTGGAGTGAGATGATATCTCATAGTTGTTTTCATTAGCATCTTTCTTAGAGCTAGGGATTTTGAACATTTCTTCATGTGCTTGTTCGCCATCTGAATGTCTTCTTCAGTGAAGAGTCTGTTTATATCCTATGACCATTTTTCAGTTGGGTTATTTACCTTTATCTTGTTGTGGTGCTCGAGGATTTTATAAATTATAGATATAAGTCCCTTGTCTGACATGTCACTGTCAAATTTTTTTTCCAATCTGTGGCTTCCCTTTTTACCCTGTTGGAGAAGTATTTGTATGTGCATACATATTGGATTCTTAGAAGGTCCATTCACCTATTTAGACTCTCCTGGTTGTAGAGTTACCAGGATGCTTGGAAAACTGTTTATGTTGTGGATTAGGACTTCTAGAGTTCTTCTAAGCTTTTATTTAGTGAAGTTTATAGTCCTTGGTTTTAGTTCTAGGTCCATAATCCACTTGGTTTTTGTGTATGGAGTGAAGTGTAGATCTTGCTTGAGTTTTCTGCAGATAGATTTCCAATTTTGCTAACACCATTTGTTAAAAAGGCTGTCATTTCCCCAATTAACTTATTTCAGCTCCTTATAAAAAATCAGTTGACCATAGGTAGATGGGCTGATTTCTGGATTCTCAATTTTATTCCATTGATCTTTGTGTCTGTCGTTGTACTAGTACCACGCTGTTTTGACCACCACAGCAGTGTAGTAGAATTTGAAATCAGGGAGTGAGATGTCTTCTCCCTTGTTTCTCTTTTTAAGAAGTGCTTTGCTTGTTCTGGACCTCTTTCCATTCCAAATGAAATTGGGAATTGCCTTTTCCATCTCATTGAAGAATGGAATGTGTATTTGTATCGGGATTACATTGAACATGTAAATTGCCTTTGATAGTATTGTCATTTTCAAAAACTGAGTCTTCCTATCCATGAGCAAGTGATACTCTTCTACCTCTTCAGTCATCTTTTTGTTTCTTGTAGTAATTTTTGTCATTTTCTTTGAATAGATCCTTTGTGCTTCTGGTTAGGTTTACTCCTAAGTATTTAGTCTTATGATCAGCTATTGTGAAGGGTATTGTTTTTCTCACTTCCAGTTCTGTATTCTCTTTTTCACTGTTGAGAATTCAATTTCATTTTTCTGTGTTGATGTTGTATCCTGCCACTTTGCTGAAGTGGTCAACTATGTCCAGTAGTTTCCTTGCTGAGTCGTTAGGGTTTTCTAAGTATACTATCATATCACTGCATAGAGAAATAATTTTACCTCCTCTTTGCCAATTTGGATACCTCTTATTACCTTCTCTTGCCTTATTGCTATCACTAAGACTTCTAATACCATATTGAATAGGAGAGCTGATAGTGGGCATCCTTGCCTAGTTCCTATTCTCAAGAGGAATGCCTTTAATCTCTCTCCATTGAGAACAATGTTGGCTATCAGATTTGCATATATACTTATTACTACATTGAAGAAATTCCCCTCAAATCCTATTTTGTTGAATGTTTTAATCAGGAAAGGGTGTTGCATTTTGTCAAAGGCCTTTTCTGCATCAGTTGATAGAATCAAGTGGTTCTTGTTCTTTGCTTTGTTAATGTGATGAATTACACTGATTGATTTTCTCATCTCTAACCATTCTTGCATACCTGTTATGAATACCACTTGGTCATGGTGAATTATTTTTTTGATGGATTCTATGGGCCAGGATTTTATTCAGGATTTTTGCATCTATGTTCATGAGAAATACTGGCCTATAGTTTTCTATTTTGGTGGTGGCTTTACCTGGCTTTGGTATCAAAGATATGTTTGTTTTGTAGAGTGAGTCTGGAAGAATTCCATCTTTTTCTATTTTTTTTAAATAGTTTGTGTAGGATTGGTGATACTTCTTCTGTGAATGTGTGATAAAATTCACTTATAAAGCCATCTGGTCCAGGACTTTTTTGGCTTGGAAGTTGTTTTATTACCTTTTCAATTTCTTCTTTTGAAATGGGTCTGTTCAGGTGTTCAGTTTTGGTTAGTGTCAGTTTAGGTAGGTTGTGAATTTTTCAATTTCCTCTAGGTTTTCATATTTGCTTGAGTATAATTTTTCATCATATTCCAATGTTAGCCTTTTCATTTTAATTGGTTCTGTTGTGACATTGCCCATTTCATCTCTTATTGAGATTATTTGTGGTTTTTCCTTTGTCACTTTTTCTAGTGGTTTGTTGACTTTATTGAACTTTTTAAAGAACCAACTCCTTGTTTTGTTGATGGTT